TCTGGTTAAAACAGTTGAAACAAATTGCTGCATTGCAGTATTATTTGTTAACTATCTCTCACGCCCTATTTTCTCCAGAATTTGCAGTAATGGCATCATCACAAAGGAAAGTAAATGAAACATGAGCACACCACTCAGCACTGCAGAAATTGAAATACTCTGGCAAGGCCAGGAATGACTAAACCTTTTCAAATGCCAAAAAAAAACTTAAAATTCCACACCCAAACACAATCTATGATATGAAGCAATATACACTACGGATTGAAGATAGGGTGTAACTTAATTTGAGGGCTTAGAAAACATTTATAAACCAAGAACCTTCTAAATCCTTCAATTATCTTGCAACTCACTTTCAAGTATCCACTTCTCTGTGTTACTTCCTACGAAGAAATGGATCAGATGAAACAAGACAATGTACAGATGTATTCATCCATTTGTGCTTCCTCCAAGATTTTTAACAGCTGTAACTTGTCAGATATATTCATCAAATAGCTTTCAATTTATAAAAGGTTATGTAAAATGAGTGTTAAAGCAATATGTGTTCAGTTCTCAAAGAGAGAGGTTTTGAGAGGTTATTTGAATGCACTTGTACAGATACATTTGTTGGTTTATTTTCTCAGTGTTAATAACATGAGGCACACAAAACAAGAAGTTCCTGTGTTGCAGGGACAGGGAGAATAGTTTTGAACCAGTGAGAATGTTTGAACCAAATAACATTGGGAGACTGCTCAACTCAGGAAGCAGAGAAGGCACTGTGGTTGAACGATTCATAAATCTGTGGGAGTCTCCAAAAAGCCAGAGATAAGATTGGTTGCCAACTTCCAAAAAATCTTATGGTGTAAGCCTTCAGACCATTGTCTAAAGAATGAATGGAGCAGCACCCCATTAAAATGCACTTAATTATAATGTTGGTTCGACCCCGACATTTACTTTCCTCCAAAATTGAAAATATAGGTTCTGGCTGCTTCCAGACTATCATGTTACCTCCAATTCCCTTTCTTGGGTCCTGGACATGTGCATGCCCATTTTGGCCTCCTGTACACTTGTCAGCCTTTTTAGTGCAGATGGAGCTATTTTGATTGTTGAGATATTACATTCCCCATCTTCCATGTTATTATCAGGCCCCAATGTATCATGCAGAAGTTTTGCATTTCAGAGAAGTCTTGATTTAACAGCCGGGTTTCTGCAGTTCCTTTTAAAAATTGTGAAAATTTCCAAATTAAGAATGAATTGAAGGATATTCAAAATTTTGGGCCACAATATTTTTTAGGCTCTGTGCTAAGACCATGAAAAATGTCTGGTCTCTGGAGTTAAAAGGGTTTATATGTAAATAGAAACATTTTCAATTTTCACATTAGGATTACCATTTACACTCCAGTGGACTATGCACATTGAAATTGTCCTCTCAGCATGCTGTTACCTGCTTTGCCTCTGCTGAATGAAGGGCAGTGCTCAAAGGCAAGTCAACAGCTTTCAATATGCAGAAATTATTTCCCAACATCAACTGTTACTCACTTACAACATGTGATACATTTGCATTGCTTACGTTACCATTTACCATCATATATCCTTGTGTGGAAGTAGCACATCACATATCAAAGGAAAGGCACAGGAACACCACTGACATCTAACATAACAGTCACAGTAACAAAGAGAATGTTCTGCGACCTACTTATTGTAAAACAATCTCGTGATCAATTTCTTCTGAAGAAGCGGTGGGTCGGCCCAAACTTCAGTCAAAACCTCAGTTTATCAAGTTGTGTTACTCTCGCTATTTTAGAAAAAGAAACAAATGGCCTCCACAGTCACTAATGCAAATATCAAGTTCGGAGGGCACGGGGCTGGCTCGTGCTTTCAATAATTTAAGACTGATCTGGGGGAACAACATGCATAACATGAGGGAATTCAAACAGCATCGAAAGATGTAAGGTCAGAATGAGAAAAAACACATTTAGATTGTGATGCTGCTAAGATTCATGCTCCTATCGTCTTGTCTTTTACTCAGTCTCCCTCTACTCCCTTAATGAAAATCAACAAGTTGCCATTTTAATTATTTCCAAATGTTTCAAATGAGCATATTCATGATGCTTTTTTGTTTGGTCAGCCAGGTGGAACCACACGACACATTTGGAAACCTGTCACCAAGAGTATTGAAAGAAAACTGAGAGGTCTACAGATCCCACTTAAGTAGCAGACTATTCCATAAATTGACTAAGTTGCACTGAGCTTGAGAATCTTTTGCTCCAAATCATGGCCTTATTTTGTTTCAGTTTAAAGATTTTTAGTTGGCTTGACAATTGTCAAACCAATTGTCAGTTGGCTTGACGATTGCCATGAAATGGGACACGATTGGTGATGCTCGATTACCTAGAAAACCCAAACATTTTTCCTGCTTCAATTCTTTTCAACCAGTTCCAAAAGCATAAAATCCAAAAAGGCAATTTTAACTGATTTCAAATGTTGCAAGGATCAAGAATGACATTTGAAAGAGTTATAACTCATAATAGTAATTCAGATTTATGTTCTGCTATGTTCAGCTGAGTCCTCAACAGAATGCAAACTGTCATAGTGAAACAGAATGTTCACAGAAAATGGCAAAATTACAAACAAAGGTTTTCAAAGTCTCTGTTGGCTTTTGCTATCAAATCCAAGCAGTCTGGTAAAGTTCCGATTACATAATTTACATAAAAATCAGATTAAACCATTGATGCAACACCATAACTGTACCAATCTGGACGTGGATATATAATACATTATGAGGTATCTCTTTGTGTGTAACACCATCACACCTCAGAATTACAAAAATGTCCACTCAATATTTCTTCATTCACAGCTGAAAGATGTACCAAAAATATTTGCACCACTCTTTGCAAAACGCAACAACTCAACGAATGCAACAGGAAGGATCAAAGGTTATCAGAGAAAAAATTACTGGAGATATAAATATATAAAACATGGTCTGGAGATCATACTCCTGTTTTTGGACCTGTTGAACCCAAATAGATAAACTGCTTCAGGAAAAAACAGTAGTGCAGAGAGTACACAGATATTTTTCATAGTTTTCAGACACATGCATATGCAATATAAACCTTGATCAATTGCCAAAGAATGAATGAATGAGGATCTGGGGTTAGGGGTCCTGACAGAAACATCGGAAGCTGCCTTCTGATCTTAAAGCACAAGGAAAAATTTTGCTCATTGTCTCTCACTCTAGTTTAATTTGTTATGTTCAAGAGGGATATCAGAAGAGGATGCCTAATCTGGATAAGACTGCAACATGCTTTTAATCACTATAGCTGAACAAAAACATTCAAATACCGAACGACTTGGAGAAAGGTTGAACTGTTGCTGAAATTCTGCTGTTTTATCTTTTGGATTGCAGACACTGCAAGTCTCTACGGAGCACAATAAGTCTAGATTACCACCTCATATTCCAGTTGTTTGTTTCACACACAGTGCAGTTACACTTTTAAAAAAAAAGATCAATAGCTCGATTTTCTTAATGGGCCATTTACTGTACTGACGGGATACATCACAATAGATGCGCACTCAATACGAGATGAACACAAAATAGGAACATGTTATGAAATCTGTCCAGATATTTCCCGCCCTATCCCACTAGCAAAATAAACTGAGACCATCACCTTCCCCGCGCCCCCTGCCACCTCCTCCCCCTCCCACCAATACGTTCTCATGTTTGTCGCTCAAAGTGTTGTTGAAATTGATCAAAGCTAGCTTGCATTACTTGACAAGGTTCATTTTGTTTTATAATACCTGTGAAATTCAAGGAATGGAGAGCTTGAAGCGCACCAGAACTTTCCATTATATTTACAATTCAATAGTTAATCCCACTGGTGGGATAAAGATAAATTCAGAGTTGTATTACTATATCTGAAAGTTATACGTTCATGTGAAAAAAGTTGCATGAGCGTTTGACCCTCAATACGATATGAAGCTGCTGAAGCCTAAAGAGACAACTTAAAAGTAGCTGAGACCAAGGTAGATTACAATGACAACAGGTGACACAATACCCCAGCATTTTCACTGCTGCCCAGAATACCGTTTCATCGCTTCAACTCCTGTCATTTATGTTTTATTGAACAAATATTTCAATGAATTTCCTTCCCCAAGTGATGTTCAGTATTCAGTGTTTAACACATCTGCCGATTAATTTTAAATATAAAATAAATTGATGAAAAACAATGCTTGCTTCAGAAATTAAGGTCCTGGCACTGGAAGCACTGGGTCAACATTGATATTACTTTGATCAAGTAAAGTCGATCTAAAACAGTCTTCAATGATGGATGGAGAACAAACTAATTTCCCTGTTCCTCTTTTTAAATGTTGATTGCTGCTTGAACAAAAATGAATGGCTAAATTGTGTTTGAAGAAGAGGGTTGGCAACAGCAAACTGATGTTGCATTATATTATGGTGGAATGTGTAATTTGAATTTGAAAGGTTGGTGAGGTTGTGCCAACTGGAAGTCATCCGTGGTTTCCCATTCAGAATGCAATATTGCAAGTCGAATTCTAACCTTAAGTGACGGTCAAATTTAGCTGCTCTTAATTGGGTGGGTTACTGGTTCTTTGGCAGGCACTGCTTGGAGCACCTCATTGCAAAGAAGTGGTACACACTGATGATGGTGGGGAAATTAGCTATTTGTAGGGATAGAGAGAATATACTGATGGGAAGATCAATGTCATCCCACCCCATCATGTTTACTTCTACAGCAGTGTTGTTGAAACGCAGTACTGAAAAGAAACGAGGTTGTCTGTGGCCCAGACCAACCTACTCCCTTGGCGGACATCAGTCAAAAATCATAGATACAGCATAAATATAGGCAAAATATATTTTCAATCCTACATCCAAAAATGAGTGCAGGCAGTGTACTCTGTCCCAGGAATACAGGTGTACTATTTTTCAAGAGCAAATAATTTAAAAAATGCATAACACTTTAACGATTGCAAGATATAAAAAAAATGTGCAACTGACTACCCACCTGCTTCAAGAGTCCTAACTTTAGCAGAGGGTAGACTGGGTTCTCCTGGGCCCAGAGTATTGGTTGCTACAATGCGGAATTCATAGTCCATCCATGGAATTAAGTCAACAACCTTTGCTGTTTCCATGTTGCCTTCAATATTCTGTGGGTCTAAACAAAATAAGAGAAGATCAAATGTGAGAACAGAGATAAAGACTCCTGCATCACAGATCACACGAACCATTCATCATGCTTTGCTTTTCCCATTTTATGACTAACAGATGTGTGTAAAGGGAACAAAACCACAGAATAACAATAACCCTTGTATTTGGTACAGCGTCTTCTGCATCAGGAGGACATGTTTCACAGGATTTTACTGTAAATTGCAATGTCTGTAAATTTTCTATTTGAAGGGGATTAAGCAAGCCCTCCACGGTCTTGCTCCTCCTTACCTCTCCGACCTCTTAACCCCATACCAGCCTGTCCGCTTCCTCCGCTCAGCGGATACTGGTCTGCTTCAGGTGCCCCGCACTTCCTGCCCCACCATTGGTGGTGGAGCATTCAGCATCTCTGCCCCCACACTCTGGAACTCTATCCCTCAATCCCTCCACCTCACCCCCCCACTCTCGCCTCCTTAAAATCCCATCTAAAGACCTTCCTCTTCGACCTTGCCTTTGGCCACCCTCCCATCACCCTGCTCTCTCCTGACCCCAACTCCCAGCTCTGGTCCAATAACCCTGACCGTCCAGTGCTTTGGGACATCTACACAAGGCTCTATACAAGTGTAATTTGTTGTTGTTGTTGTGAACAGAGCAGCCAATTTGTGTATCACAACATCCCACAATCAGTTATGAAATGAATAATTTTATCTGGAAGATGGCTTTCCAGGACATGGAAGAAACTCCCTTATACTTCTCTTATATTTTTGAATGATATCACTCAGGTCTTTAACGTCTCATCCGAAGAGTGCCACCTCTGACTACACAGAATTCCCCCAGCACTGCACAAGAGTGTCAACTCAGACTGTGAGTTTTAAGTCCCGGACTGAACCCATAACCTTCTGACTTGAAGGTGAGAGTGCAACCAATTGAGGCAATCTTAAATTTAGCTTGCCCATGCATCGCCGGCTGAGACCACCAAACAAAGCATGCACTGAGGTCTGAACTGGTGATCTCCCTGTCTGAAACTGCAGCTCTACACTTGGTTATACAGCTGGAACACGTAGTCACTGGAACATTGGTATTGTTTTCCTTCGAACAATGACTTGAAGTGCTTCATAACCTCTGACTATCGACTGCATTTAAAAGTAAACGGTGAGACTGTAAAACTACACGCATGGAATGTCAAGACGCTTAAACAACAAAAGACAATGTAACTGACTTTCATCTTTCTGAAAGGGCTGGTATTGTTTAATTCCAATGTTTTGTGAAATATCTGGTTTCCGCAGCTGCAGTATGCACAATGTAAGAGGAGGGAAACGTACACCTGTTACATATGTATATCGTAAGTCCAAGAAAGACACACACAATGACTATGGATGCTGCACTGATGGGCAAAGTCAGGTCCTGATATTGCTAAAATTGCATATTTTGATTTTTTAAAATGAATTTAGCATGTCAATTTTTTTTTCATTCTCGCCACCGGCCTCTCCACTCCTGATCTGCCCTCCTCTTGCTGGGATGCAGTGGCCCTTGTTCATGTTTGAGCCTTCCCAGTGAACGATGGAAGACTCTTTAGTGCATCATAGTCAAACGTGACCTCTCTCTGCCTACCCATCACACACATGCACAACCAAGTAGAGGGTCGTATTCATGGACAAGATGGCTGGTTTTCCCCTCTCTAATCCTGGGAAGTCCAGGGCCAATTTAGCTTGCCCCTGCATCACCGACCAAGACCACCAAACAAAGCATGCACTGAGGTCTGAATCAGCTGCAGCTCTAATCAGCTGCAGCACCATCTGGGCTGCCCCTGATCTCATATGTTGAGTGATTTGTCCAAATGCTGGTTGTCCTGCTGTGAAACGTGGGCTCAACTGGTTTGTAGACTATAACTTGCACACCAATGCTGAGCTCAAGAAGCTGGATAGATCATCCAGATCTATCTGCATATAAAGCTGCAGATCCTCCAGAACTCTGCAGCTCCTTTCCTCTCCCTCACCAGGCTCTGTGACCCGACCCTATCACCTCCACCATCACCCGGCTCCACTGGCTCCCCATCCCCCAAAGGATAGCGTTCAAAATCCTCGTCTTTACGCTCAAGGACATGTTTTTTAAGAAGCTGTTTTGGATGACTGAGGAGCAGATTGCTTTGAAGTACTATGGGTGGCTGGATTCACTTGTAATTAAGTTGGGTCAATGTTTGCTCCATATAGTGTATGTTACCAGTGCAAAACTTGAATTCTATTCCTGTGCTTTGGCATTGTGTGTGTCATAGAAGCACATTTTGGGAGAAGTCAAAATATATATCAGGTTTGTAAAGCATAAATGCATTCAGAAATAGCCTGTGCTTGTCACGTATTGCTGAAAGGCTCACTCACGTCAACACAGTGCCCACTCTACCCAGCTTCTGTGCCCATTAATGGGAGCTGGGCATAACATGGTGAGGTGCAACCATTGACATTTCTATGAGAGAAATCACCAATGATCATTATCCAACCAATGTCTTGTCTGAATCGTTTGGCTTTGTCTCTTTTGTGCACATTTGAGAAACAAGTCAGCCCCCTCAATTTGCACTTAATGCCACATTTAACTTGATAAACCTGGGTGCTAATTTTTCAAGCGTGCTTAAAAATAGCATGCCTTCAAAACCTAAACACGATCCTACAATCCATTCTTACAACATTATGAAATTGTTTTTTCGTTGCAGGCAGGTATGTTCTCTCTAAATCTCTGTAAACAATCTCCATGTGACTCTTGTTTTCCTGGTCATTATGGGTGAGTATTTCAGATGAGAAGTATTTCCCCTTCCATCCAAATACTTCAAGTTTGTGAAAGGGAGCAAGTGGTAATCTCAGCTCCCGAGTGTTCTTCCTGCTAGTGGTGTAAGGACCACCAGGTTACCATTTATGTCCAACTACTTGCACTGTTTGCTTATCCAGAGTGTGGCTTGTTCCAATTTGTGTGGCTCTGTACAATAGTTTTTATTCTTGAACTAAACATTTTTTCTCAATGAATTATAACTAACCTGTTTTAGCATCTTTCCATTCATCGGCATCGAAGAACTTCCACTGAATTGTATACTTGGATATTGGGCTGTGGTTGTCTGTCCCCCGGCTCCAGGATAATGCAACAAACGTGTCTTTAATATCTTCCACCCTCACACCTCCAGGGGGTCCTGGTGGACCTGAAAGAAGAGATTTGCAATGGACAATGATATATGGGTCACTCAGCACTGAGCAAACATATCATCTTCCACTGTAATAATAATAATTTTTGCATTTGATATAGCGCTTTTCACGTCTTCTCAACGTCTCAAAGCGCTTCATGGAATCTGCTGTAAAGTGAATTGACTGTATATTTGTGGACGAAACACGGTAGCCAATTGCGCACAGCTGTGTCCCACAAACAGTTGTAGATTGAAAATGACCAATTTTATTATTGTTTTCTTTTTGGAGGGATTATTATCAGGCGTGTGGAGTAAGGAAACTTGCCCAAGGTTTTGCACTGCCTGGAATTGAACCCAGGTGTCTCACTTGCAAGGCGAGTGCTCTAACCACTGAGCTACAGGACTCCATAACTACTTACTGCCAAGGAATACTTCTTATGTAATTTATTTTTACATTGACAATGCTCATATCAACAGCCCCGGCAAGCACTTAAGCACAGTACTTAAAACTTAATAAATTATAATTGAAAGAAGAATGTGTATTTTTCAAAGAACCGTATCATATTAATTATCAGAAAATGTTTCAAGCAATTATTGTCCTATGATATTGTGCTATTATAGCAAACATGGCCATGTGTGCCCAGCTGGGATCCACAAGTAAAGGAGAAATAAATAACCGATTTTATTAGGAGAGTTGTTGCTCTCGACACTGGGGAAAAAACTCTTTTCAAACTGATTCTTCAAAGTTCACCTGTCGAATAGGCAGGCAGGATCTCAGTTTAACATTTCATCTCAACAACAGCACCTCTGATAATGCAGTGCTCCACTGGGAGTTCACTTAAGTGCTCACCTAGATAATCAGATTATGTTTGAATTGTGCTGAATATAGTAAATCAATTTCAAGAATGATGTATTGAAACATTCAATAATTTGTGATCTTATGGATAAAACATAATAAACAGATTTATGCCATCTCATTGCTCAATGATATGTCTTACATTAGAACAAAACTACCAGCCAAATAATTTAGACTACAAATGTAAAGATGATACAGACTACATCAACAATTGAAACCCTAAGATGTAGGTATTTCAATTTAGGAGCTATTGGAATATTATCTTCACTCAAGAATTAATGCGATAGGTATAACCCTGTTGAGTTCCATGACTGTTGTGAGCTCTTCATAAGTGAAATTAACCTCTGAAAATACACACATTTGTCGAGCTCTGAACATGACATGTTGATGTACCAGCTACCTGTTCAGAAAAGGTACTAAATCACATATATGATAGCTCTCCAACTATTATAATAAGCACACTGGTCTGTGACAAGTACCTATCTTCTGAGTTATGAGTGGCTCCTGCTGCAGACAAATTGAAGTGTCCATGTCAGCTTGAGAACGGGCTTATCACAAAATGGAATGGTCACAAAATGTGTTTCTCTCAGTCATGCATATTATTGGTTAAATTCTTCCAGAAACAATCAGGCTTCATTTTTCAAGCAACTTCAACTGTTCACTGAACAAAAGAGGCATGTTCTCGAATACTATCTTAACGGAAGTCTCTAATCCTTTCTGCATTGGGTGAAACAAACCAAGAAATGATTTGCTCATCTGAATTTATTTTTTAGTCAGCCAGGTGTCTGCCACGTGCACAAACCCATCACAATGTTTAAGAGTATCCAAATCAGACTGTTTCACATGTGTATGTCACCTACATGTAGAAATTTCCCTGTGTCTGGAATGTAATATGCATTCTCTCCCCAGAAGGACACATCTTGGTTACCTAATTTCAGAGAGAATTAAGGGCCGGATAGCAAAAGCCAAAGCTTGGGGACATCAGATTGTGTATCGGTAGTGATGGAGTTTAAGCAGTTAAAACCATGAAGCTCTTCATTGAGAGCACAGTCTGGTAGGCTGCCCGCTGCTTATCCAGCAAGGACCATCCTACCTGTTATAGCTTTGGCTTGTAAGGTTAACAGGAGCTGAGTGGAAAGAATCAAGGCATTCAATGTAATCTCAGTCAAACACAAATATTCACATTTGAATACAATTGTTTGATTGTCCGTCATCCAGTTAAGGTTACCCAACACGAGGATCTATAGATCTTACTGGATGCAAAAGCCTAACAATAGAAATAAAGTATAATGGGAAGGCAGTTGAATCAAGGATCTTATGAATTTGCAAACAAAGCTTAGAGTTCAATATTGAATACATACTGAACCGATTATGCATCCAAATACATTTTGCTAGAGTTATAGCTATTGTTAGGATTTGTTCTGGTAAATGGGGAATAGTAATACTGAAATTTGCTGGATGAACATTCTGCAGGTTTGTGAGAAAAATTCTATTTTCTATCTGCCTTGTCTCTGCCTTTTTTGCACTCATTACAGAGAGCCTGGCAGCACTAACTCTGCTGCTGCTTCTCTGAAGATGGCCCTGCGTAGGTGTATAAGAGCAACTTGGGACTGCCTCTCAATTTCTCTCTTCCCTTCCTTTTGGTGGGTAAAGTTATGTGCTCTGATCATTATCTTTAACTTTAAGAAATAGAGCACGGTATCATAAGAGTTAAAGTTGTAATTTGACTGCAATTTGGCTCAGAGATCAATGATAGCAGGCGAGACAGAACACAACAATGATGACAATTTACATGCCTTCCCATGGAAGGTCATCTCAAGGTGCTTCACACAACTGACTGGGAGCCCAAGCTGAGATGTGTAATTGGGGGGGAGGAGAAAGGCTGAAATCACAATCAAAGAGAGAGGTCTTAAGGAGGTTAGGCAGAATACTCTGGGATGGATCTCCAGAGAGCGGGAGCAGAATGGCTGCATTGGTGGGAACACCAATGGTGGGACGGAGCAGGAGGAGAGGTAAAGCAGGCCGATGAGCAGAGGGAGTAGCCAGGGCAGTCCTGTGCAGGTTTTTGCTCTCCCAACCAGTGAAAGCACTAATTCAATCAAAATCATTTCATATCCACCGCTTTCAGATGGCTCTGGCAAACAGATGTCATTTAACACAATCTATAGAGCTCTTTTAGCAGCGTACTATTTTGTACATCAAAGTTGTCTTCAGTGATTTTCCAGCCATAATGTAGGTTCAGACTATGGAGTTATGAGAATGAGCAGAAATGAGGAGAAACTATTTCCACTGGTTGGTGAATCAGTGACTGGAGGGCATCAATTTAAGATAATTAGTAAATAAGTAAGGAGAATTTCTTTCACGCACAAAATAGTTAGGAAAATGGAATGCCCTGCCAGGAGCAGTAGTTGAGGCAAAATCCATATTAGGTTTTAGAAGAGGATTAGATAAATACTGAAAAAATACTAAACTAAAAGAGTGTGGATAAAGGTCATAAAAATAGGACGGGAAGGATTACCTATAAAAGAGCCAAAACAAGCACAACGGACTAAAGAATCTCCTTCTATTCTGTAAATTTCAATGGTTCTATGGACTGTGTGTTCTGAAATGATGAAATCAGATAGGCCAAAAGGGCTTTCTTCATCCAAACCCATCTTGTGATCTTGTGAATGCCCTGACTTCTACAGCATCTGTCTGCTTCTTGAACCATGTCTGCAATGTGGAATGCACTATAGTTTTGTTTATACAATAACAACAACAACTTTATATTTATAGCACCCTTCACATGCAGTAGTGTCTTGGAATACTTAACAGTGGTGGAACTTTCATGCTGAACCAGGAAGAGAGGGAAGGTTTACCATAAAATTAATCTTTGCTTTTGATATAGCGCCTTATCACGTCTTTGAGATGATTCAAAGCTGCACAGAATATACCGTAAAGTGAATTGACTGTATATTTTGTGGGCGAAACCATAGGCAGGGTAACAAGGAAAGTCTTCAGATGTGATCTGAAGGCAGACAAGGAGGGGGCAAGGTGAGGCAGTGAGTTCCAAACTTTCAGGGCATATTACAATAATAATCCTTACATTTGATATAGCGCTTTTCACGTCTTTGAGACATCTCAAAGCACTTCACAGAATATACTGTAAAGTGAATTGACTGTATATTTTGTGGGTGAAACATGGCAGCTAATTGCGCACAGTAGTGTCCCATAAACAGTCGTGGTTTCAAGTGACCAATTTTTTTTTTCTGGAGAGATTATTATCAGGCATGTGGAGTAAGGAAACTTGCCCAAGGTTTCACTCTGCCGGGACTCAAACCCAGGTCTCTCTCTTGTGAGGTGGATGCTCTAACCACTGAGCTACAGGACTGTCTGAAAGTAAGGCCGCCAATGGTGGAGTGGAGGAGACCAGGGATTTACAGGAAGAGCCAGCTGAGCAAAGCAGGCAGGCAGAAAAGTGGACTGTAAGCCAGTTGAAAAGGTAGGGAGGTGTTAGGGTATGAAATGAGTGTGAGGATCTTGAAATCGATTCATTCTACAATAGGGAGCTAGTTGAGTTCGAAATTGATCCATTCTGGCTCTAGCCTCCTGTTGGGTATCCAAAGCTAGTGATGAAGGTAGTACAGTTGTTGTAGTGTATGCACCTTATCAAATGACTTTCAGAAGGTGTTTGATAAGGTGCCACATGATAGACTCGCTAGCAAAATTGAAGCCCATGGGATAAAAGGAACAGTGGCAGCATGGATACAAAGTTGGCTGGGAGACAGAAAGCAGAGGGTAGTGGTGAATGGTTGTTTTTCAGGCTGGAGGGAAGTACACAGTGGTGTCCCTCAGGGGTTGTTATTAGGTCCACTGCTCTTTTTGATATACATAAATGACTTGGACTTGGGTATGGAGAGCAAAATTTTAAAGTTTGCCGATCACACAAAACTTGGCAACATAGTATACAATGAGGAGGATGGTAGAAAACTGTAGGAAGACATGGACAGACTGGTGAAATGGGCAGACACATGGCAGATGAAGTTTAATGCAGAGAAGTATGAGGTGATGCATTTTGGGAGGAAGAATGAGGAGAGGCAATATACAATAAATGGTAATATTCTATGATTCAAGGGAACCAGTTGAGCCTGGCAAGGTCTGGGGTGAAGGGGGTCTTTGGAGT